GACTATTTTAGTTGGAAGTTGAATAAACAAAACTTGATTTGAAGATAGAACACAACATTGTAGGAAACTATTGGATGTAATTTTTTTCATTTGTTTTTATTGCTTGCAATTTATCTCAATGATATCTGAATTGGAACAAAAAATTCACCTTTTTCTCTCAAGTTTCATTAATATTAAGAAATGAAAAAAAAAATTATACATTATCTAATAAAAAATTACTCTTACTCAGTTATATATTCAACTACTCAATCAATGATTTATTATTTATATTTCACATTAACGTCAATCGTTAATTTCTTTTTTATCTTATACTTATTTGCAACATCAAATTTTTCTACATTTTTTGTTTTTTTTTTTAATAAAAAAATTCCATATTTATATTGAAAAAGACAATATTTTTATTAATATTTTTTATATAATCGCAATTATTTTAGTGAGGGAGGTAATATCATCGCGAACCAAAAAATTCATTTCCAAACTCAAAATTTCCAAACTCAAAATGTAGTAGTTGTCACGTCAATCTGTCACACAAAACATTAATTATTTTCTAATATTTTTACTAATCATTATCAAATTCATAAGAAATTACTGTATTATTCACTTTTTGCAATAACTATAAAACCTTTCAAACAACCCACATATTTATCAACTTTATAAATTATATGAACCAATATTTTTATATTTGATTGAAATATATATATATATATAGTAAAACTAATTACTAATTTTATAATTCCAATAACCTCGTACACTAGAAATTATTGGAATGAGTATTTAATTTAGGGTAATGGTGCTTTTGGACAAGGTTTTGACTCAACTTGATTTATGGAAATTGCCTAATATAGAAAAAAAATTGGTATCCATTTTCATTCTTTTCCTATCAATCAGTTCAACTTGTAACCAAGATAAATATACATCCAACATGTAATCATTATTTTTCTTCATACTTAACTCGTAATACAAAACATATGTTACTCACCATAAACTCCTCAACTATTTAGGTAGTTTTTTATTTTCAAATAAGTTTAATTTCGTAGAACAATTTTTTTAAAACTTATCTCATAAGCTCGCTTATAAAGCTTTTCGTAGTTTTTTATTTTTAAATAAGTTTAATTTCGTAGAACTATTTTTTTTAAACTTATCTCATAAGCTCGCTTATAAAGCTTTTCAAAAAAGTCCGTTGAAAAAATTATTTCATATGACTTATAAGTTAAATTTACCAAACACTTTTATTGCATCAAATAGTGTTTCAGACTTTCAGTCACCAGTCATAAGTTATTAACTATAAGCTATAAACTAGCTTATGAACTATCTAACTTATTAGGTATAAGAGTCATAAGCTATCAACTATAAGCTATAAACTAGCTTATGAACTATCTAATTTATTAGGTATAAGCTAGTTTTGCAGCTAAATTTATTGAACATACCCTATATCAAATACCTTTTCAATTATTAGTCATAAATTATCATAAATTCGAAATAAGCTTATTAGCTATCAGCTATAAGTAAACTTTTTAATTAGATTTACTAATCATACTCTAAGTACTAAATATTTAGAATGTGTGATAAGCACCATAAACTACATTATAACTTATTTAGATTGCTTATAAGCTTTTTGTATAAAAATAAGTTAGGTTCGGTATGATGATTTTTTATTTATTTATTTTTAAATGTAGCTTATTTCACAAGCTTTATTATGTAATTTTTCAAATAAGTCCATCTATTTTGTAGGTGTCTTATCCGTTAATTCTACGAAACACTTTTGTCATATCAGCTAGCTTTTCAGATATAAGTCATAATCTACCAGCTATAAGCTCAAAATTCACTAATCAACTAGCTTATTAGTAGAACTTTAAGCGAAATGAGCCTCTCGTTAGTTCAGCTCGACTTATTTGATAACTAAGTCGAGCTCAAACTCACTTAAAGCTTGTTTCGTTAACATGCCATTCTCATTTTTACAAGACTCGAAAAAAGAATTGTTATATAATTTTATATAATTCAACAAATTAAAACTCAAGACCGGCTTGTTAATATTGATAAATAAGCTGAACTCGACTTTTTCCTCGTTTATTTAACGAGCCAAATCGGACTCGACTCGTTAAGGGCTCGAGCTCAGATTAGCTCCTTTCACTACAAGAAAACTAATGGAAATATATTCCAATAGAATTCCAACGACAATTCTAATAGATATTTCAATGTTATTATTTTCGTTGGAATAATTCGAATGAAAAATCCAACAAAATATTCCGTTGGAATGAGTTTTTCATTGGAATTTCCGTTGGATTTTGACGATTCCAACGGTGGTGGAAATAAAAATTCAAAAGGAAATTGCATATTGCAACGGAAATTTCTACGGTGAAAAGCCGATGGAAATATAGCCGTTGAAATCATCAAATTCCATCTAAAATTCCAATGAAAAATACATTCCAGCGGAATATTTTCGTTGAAATTTTCGTTGGAACATTCCGACGGAAGCTATACCATTGGAATATCCGTTGGAATATATTACCATATGATTTTTCGTTGAAATATAACAATTTTTTTGTAGTGTTTATAGCCATGTTTATCAGTTAGATTTATCAAATATACTCTCAATATATTATTTTAAACTAGTGTGTACCCCGTGCGATGCACGGGAACAATATTAAATTAACAATATTATAAATAGACCTCGAGTTTGAGTCACTCAATGGCGGAAGTGGAAACTACTATTGATCCTATTTTAAAAGAGGAAGAAAAAAAATAATTATAAATTAAAGAGGAGGATAAAAAATACTTAATAATTATAAATTAAAGATTCGGGGTCAAACAATGTAAAATTATTTTGTATAAGAGAATATAAAAAAATTTGATCACACACCATTTCAAAATTATTATTATACTTTTTTGTATGGTTAACTTATAATATTTGTAAAAATATTAATAATTAGACCGATGAAAATTAGTTTCTTAAGGTAGATAATGAATTTCTAGTAGTAATTATGAATTGGTTTCTATTTTATTTTATTTTTTTCAAATCTCTATAGATAAGGGATGAGACGTGAGACTTATGCAATAAAATTTTGTAACAAAAGAGATAAGCTCGTGTAGATTTATACTAAAAATATGAAAAAGAAAAACAAATATTTATTGTCAAACAACGATTTTGATAAACTAAAAAATAGGAAAAAAAGAAACAAATCTTTACACAATTAATGAACCGATTTTTTTTGCCTATTCAGATTTGTCCAACAATTACTATATGTAGGATATATTTAATGATTTTGGCGGGAAAAAGTTTCTAAATTTGTAAAAAAATTATTCTTTTTATATAATGATAGATTTTGCATCAAATGAATTATTATACTTGCATCTCATTTTGATTCACAATCCCCATTAGTTCTCAATCTAAACATTTTTTTCAATAGAAAGTATACCATTACAAAATAAATGTCCTAGTCCAGCGATGAGATATTTCTTAAATATATTTAAATGAATATTTCAATATTGAAACATCGATGAAAAAATTTCATAAGAAATAAATAAAATATTCCGATATAATTGAATTCACTTATAATTTCAGGTGAAAATTGATGATATAAATAATGGTTTTTTCATTAATTTATTGTTTTAGTAAATTTCTATT